CCCTTAGTATTCTTGGAACATCTATGCCATTAAAAGAGAGAGAGAGAGGAGGAGGAGGAGAGAAGGGGGGCAAGCTCAGGGCCAGCACATAGCAGTTGGACCGCCATCTTGATGCCCTTGACACGTGCAGATGACGTGGAAGTGGTTGGCACAGGAACGGCCCACGAGGAGGAATGAGCGGCCAGTGGAGATTTATGTGAGGAGAGTGAGATGGACAAGGTAAAATTGTCAGGAGGAGTTGTTAGAAAGTAAAATATATTGTGACAATTCCACTCCTGCCGTTCATCAATAAACTGACAGATCATTTAGTGTCAATTAGGAGTGATAGATGGACAAGTCCCCATGATCCTGGGCCAAAATTAATGGCTGGGAGGGAGTGGGTGATTGAAAATGACGGCTGACATTGAGAGCAAAGTCCTCAAAGTCCCTGAGGGGCCATTACTTGCCTCATTCCCTTGCAGATCAATGCAGGGACAAACCCAAAAACAGACACTTTGAGACAAAACTTAATCAGACTGCCTTTCCTTCCTCTCATTACCAAGTCTGGTTCCCTTGGGTTCAGCCCTGATTCCTACCAGCCAAGTCAGTGACCCAGCAACCCTAAGTGTCCCAACACGGGCCAGCTCGGGGCCAAGGGCAGCTGGTTCCAAGATGGAAGCTTCGGCAGAGCTAGGACTCTGGCGTCAGCACAGCAGATAGGTAGTGGCCCCAGTGCCAGGCAACCCCCCGGTTCTGCTCTTGAGACGCAGGGGTGAGAATGGGAGTTCTCTAGGCACTGAGATAGGTGCTGCACACACACTGTGCTCTTGCCTTGGGCAGTAACACCAAACAGAGCCAAGCAGCCTAGAATCTCCTATTTCTTTTCTGCTGGCACCTCAGCCGGATCCTGAACTGGCTCTTTTGGTTTCTCACTGCTACCAACTTGGCCAAGACTTCTGTGAACCTCCCTTCCTTCTGACCTTCCTATCTAGCTTACTGAATAGAACCTACCCAAGAAATCCGGTGTCATGTGCCTAGATGGTGACATGATGGACTGAATATTTATGTTCTCCCTCCCCAGGTCTTGTGCTGAAACCCTAAACCCCAAATGGCAGTGCTGGGAGGTGGGACCCCTGGGAGGCGAGCAGGCTTGGATGAGGTTGTGAAGATGTGACTCCCATGAAGAAGGAACACAACATCTGGGCCTGGCGCTGTGGCCTAGCGGCTAAAGTCCTCACCTTGAACGCACCAAGACCTCATATGGATGCTGGTCCTAATCCCGGCAGCTCCACTTCCCATCTAGCTCCCTGCTTGTGGCCCGGAAAGGAGTCGAGGACGGCCCAGAGCTTTGGGACCCTGCACCCGTGTGGCAGACCGGGAGGAAGTTCCTGGCTCCTGGCACAGCACTGGCCGTTGCGCTCACTTAGGGAGTGAATCATCGGACAGAGGATCTTCCTTTCTGTCTCTCCTCCTCTCTGTATATCTGATTTTGTAATAAAAATTAAATAAATCTTTAAAAAAAGAGGGAGACACGACATTTCTCTCTCTGCTATCTACGTGGGTGCCTCTACAGCATCTTTCCCCCCCCCTCTTCTGGAATGGAAATGAGCTGCTGCGTGCACATCACCAACCCCCAAACCGAGTCTCTCCTGTACAACTTAACTTACGGTATCACTGCTCAGTCAGAAACACGGACTAGACACCTTGCCGGTGACCTTCCACCTCTCCCCTGCCCAACAACTGCACTCCCAGTGACTCCACCCCCCAAATGTCTCCCAGTCTCCTCTCGTTCCCATCCTCACAGCAACACCTAGCTCAGGTTTTCATCTTTCCTACAGAGTATTAACTCTCGGTAGGTCTTCCAACCTTTGAGATTTCCACCTGTCACACTGACAGCAAAGTGATCCTTCCAGAACACTCACCTGGCCCAGCAGCACCCTGGTGCATCACAACTGATTTTTTCTTTTTAAGATTTATTTATTACTGCAAAGTCAGATACACAGAGAGGAGGAGAGACAAAGAGGAAAATCTTCCATCTGATGATTCATTCCCCAAGTGGCGGCAATGGCCGGTGCTGCACCAATCCAAAGCCAGGAGCCAGGAACTTCCTCCAGGTCTCCCATGAGGGTGCAGGGTCCCAAGGCTTTGGGCCATCCTCGACTGCTTTCCCAGACCACAAGCAGAGAGCTGGATGGGAAGTGGAGCTGCCGGGATTAGAACCAGCATCCATATTGGATTCCAGCACATTCAAGACAAGGACTTTAGCTGCTAGGTGACTGTACTGGGCCCACAAATGATTTCTACAGAAAGAAAGGACCTCTACAAGGTAGAGATGGACAGGCCACTGCCTAAACCAAGTGAGGAAACTCAGGAATGCCAGTAGGGACAGGCTGGTAGCAGAGGCTTCCTGATCTGATATGCTGACAAGCGCACAACTTGTCCTGTCCTGGCCAAAAAACCTTCTAATCCAATGTAATGATGAAGAGTCAAGTCAGAGAAATCCGGAATCTGAAACATTCCGCATGATGGCTGGTCTGGATCCCTCAAAGGAGTCAATGTCTTGGGCAAGGAGTAAGCGAGGGAACCAAAGAGACAAAGAGATCAACTATGGGGCCAGTGCTGTGGGGGCAGCTCATTAAGCCTCTGCCTACAGTACCAGCATCCAATAGGGTTGGACCTGGCTGCTCCATTTCCGATCCAGCTCCCTACCATTGTGCCTGGGAAGACAGCAGAAGATGGCCTAGGACCCTGGGCCACCTAGTGAGAGACCTCAAAGAAGCCCCTGGCACCTGGTTTTGGCCTGGCCCAGCTCTGGTCATTGCAGCCATTTGGGGAGTGAAGTGAACTAGTGGACAGAAGATCTCTCTGGGTGTCTCTCCTCTCTCTGTAGACTCTGCCTTTCAAATAAACAAATGTTATTTTTAAAAAAAGAAAAAAATTTTTTTAAAACCAAAAAACCTACCAAATAAAATGTGTAAGCTGATTGGATCCCAAAGTTATAAAAGATGTTTTAGGGACAAATGGGAGATTTAAATATAAGGTATGTATTATATATTACTAAATGGCTACACAGTATTCTACTTATAACCATTATATTATGATTATCTAAAGAATGTCCTTAATCGTTTTTAAGATTTATGTACCTATTTGAAAGTCAGAGTGACAGAGAGGAGGTTAATGAGAAAGCATGGGAAACACTGTCCATCTGCAAGCTAAAAACCCAAACAAAAACCCTGGCGCATGACCCCACAAGATGGGCCTGCAGCAGGAGGAAGCCAGGCTGGCCATGTGGGCGACAGGGACCCGGGTACTTGAGCCACCATCTGCTGTCCACCCAGCGGAGTACCCCAGCAGGAAGCTGGTTAGAAAGCAGAACAGGGACTGGATCCCAGGCAATCCAATATGGGATGCTGGGCTGCACTGAGCAGGACTTAACTTGTTGTAACACAGTGCCTTAACCCTGACTTTGATCTTGAGATGCACACTGAAGTATCAGGTGTGAGCTGGTACAATGTCTAAAGCTTACTTTCAAGTGGTTCAGAAATAAGAATTCAACTCTCTCTGTGGATATGCAGTATGTACATACAGCAGATATTTGGAGAAGAGAGGAAGAGAAGGAAGGTAGAAAAAATTAACAAAAACAAGAAAAAATACTTTATGGTACAACTAGAAGGGGCCAGTACTGTGTTACAGCAGGGTTGTCATTTCTTGTAATGCTAGTATAACATATAGGTACCAGTTCAAGTCCTGGCTACTGCATTTCTGATCCAGTACTGGTAATGTGCCTGGGAAAGCAGTGGAGGATGGCCCATATATTGGGCCCTTACACCCATATGGGACAAACAGATGAAGCTCTTGGCTCCTGGCTTCAGAGCAGCCTAAACTGGCTATTGTAGTTTTTTGGATTTAAGATAAATCTTTTTTTTTTTTAAAGAATTATTTATTTATTATTGCAAAGTCAGATACACAGAGAGGAGGAGAGAGATCTCCCATCCAATGATTCATTCCCCAAGTGACCATAACAGCCGCTGCTGCGCCGATCCAAAGCCAGGAGCCAGGAATTTCCTTCAGGTCTCCCACACGGGTGCAGGGTCCCAGGGCTTTGGGCCGTCCTCCACTACTTTCCCAGGCCATAAATGATTCCATTTATATATAACGTACAGAATAGGTGAGTCAAAGGGACAGAAGGCTGGCTGGAGGCTGCTCAGGGCAGGAGAGCCCAGAGGGGGGCACAAAGTGGTTGTTAACAGGTACAGAGTTTCTTTGGGAGAAGCAGTGATTAAAGCATGTTCAGAAACTGATTTTGTTTTCCTATGTGCATGAAAAGTTATTTTTTGTAATTAAAATTTTATTATTTATTATTTTCCATGATATGTTTTTCAGTCATAACAATTCCCCCATCCACCTTACCTTCCTCCCTCCACAATCGCCTCCCCTACAACTTCCCCCATATTATTTACAATAGAGTAGTCCTTCAGCAACAGTCACAAGTCCCATATTCTGCTATTTAAATGTGCTATGACACTGTGTGTGTAGGCAATGATAGGAAATCTAGTATCATACTGTCAAGGTATATCTAACAGGTTCACCGGTAGTCCCCCCTTTATTCAGTGTCTTCACTTCCCGGTATGCTAGTCTCTATTATACAGCTATAACTGATTTTGTTCACATGACCCTGTGACTGCCCTAAGAATGGCTAAGTTGCACACTTTTTTTTAAATTAAGGAACTCTGAGGAATCATTAGTTTACACACACTGTTATTCAGTCAGCAAAAAAAAAAAAAAGTGTTTTCCACCAAAAATCAGGTACTGTTCTGAGTGCGTGGCAGATTGTGGCCAAGGAATGGATCAATATTCCCATCCTTAAATACAAGTAAACAAAAATAAATGAACAAGCAAATGTGGCAGCCTCTGCGACTGTATGATACTGTGAGTTACATCTCAGTGATGCTCCAACGGCACGGGCGTGGAGCTCCTGGCCCACCCTCCCATCCTGCAGTCTGGGAGCTACTGGCACTCACTTGGATGGCCTCGTGGAGTCGTCAGCCCAGCCTGCGTGTCTTCGTGGTGGCTTGGGAGGGGGCTCCTACAGGGAAAAAGAAGTCCAGATAACTGTCACCCAACATTTGCATTCAACAGCCACAGCCAGCTCACCAAAACCCTCTGGCTTCCTGAGAACATCTCAGTGCTGTCACACTCACATGACAGGCTTAAGAACTGGCAAAAGGTTTCCAGTGGTCACTCCAGGCATGAAAGCCTCAAAAGTGTTCACTCTCTGTGAGCCACCAATCCTTACCGCCAGGAACTGAGCCCCAAGGAATACATCAGAGAGAAGCACAACAGTGACCGCTGAGGAATTACTAACGTGGCCGGCAATAAGGCATTAAATCAACAGAAGAACACACAAGCAAATGGCACCAGGGAACACATGAAAGACTATATTAGAGTATGTACTTAGGATAAAGTCCCATGTATTTTTATTTTTTATGATTTTATGCAAAGATTCACACATAACATTTTTTGTTAAACAGCTTTATGGGCCCTACCGAGGGCGGGACTCCAATCACAGACAAGTTTAACTTTGTTCTCTCTGCTACTGTACATTTTCTAGTTGTTTTTTTTTTTAACATAACTTGGACTGCTTTTATAATAGTAATACAATAAAGGTCCAAGAGTGAGGCCTGCTGTAAAATCCTACATTTAGTGGGTTAAGAATGTACTTGGATCAGAGCTGCAGGAGGCACACTCTTGCAGCAGGGACATGCAGCTAGCTCCCCAGATGCACCAATGCTTGCGTGGCTTATCACAGGAGCACCTAGGGAATGTTAGCTATCCCCAAAGTCATTTCCATTGGATAAAACAGCATCGAATAGTTCCTTCTGAATCACCTACCATTCTCTAGGGACTGGTCTTTGAAATATCAATTTTCTTTTTTCATATGAGTATTGTGCTCAGTCCAAGCAAGTTCTTTTGAGGGACAACCTAAAACAAGAGGTTGACAGATCTCTCCTACAAAAGTTAGGAGCTAACGATTTTTGGTTCCGTGGGCCATAAAAGTCTGTTGTAACTCTGACACTGCAGAGCAATAAACAGCCAGAGGTAGCAGGTAAACAGAGGACCTGAGCTGGGATTCTTCACTAATTGGCAGTTCTTCTCTGGCAGAGAGCACGTGGTCTGCTCACGCGCCTGGGCCTCAACAGTGAGGTTGCTGCCACCTTCTTTGAAAGCCTAGCTTGGAATTTTTAAAGAAAGCACGTCCTTATCATGCCTAAATGTCTTTATACTTTAGATATTCTTGTTTCACGCCATGGTCCATGCTCTTTCCTGCCAAGAACGCACTCTGTTTAGAGGGAGCCGATCTGCTGGGAACAATTAAGAAGACCCCAAGTGCTGTAACACTTGGCATCCAGCTTAACCTCTGGGAAACATCAGTAGCACTTGAGAGAAAGCAGATTTACGTTTTTCTTTTTTTTAATCCAAGCGAGAGGCAGGCAACGAAGCTACTTGAGGGTTCCTGTTTATCTCTGTGAGAAAGAACAAAAATAGAGAAGAGGAAAGGCAGTTTATATCTGTGGGGGAAACCCAAGAAGATGCACTGAGCCCCATCATTGCACCCCAGTCCATGAGGCCTTCTATGGTTGCACCTGCCATCCAGTACTTACCCATCTCTAGGTTGAAAGGGGATGCCTTCTTTTCCATGACCCTAAAGACACAGCTGACTAAACCAGAAGTCTCAGATTGATCCCATTAGAAGGCCAAGTTGTTCAGACAACAATCAGAGCTGGCTGCAAAGATCAGTCACTGTCAGAATAACCCCAAACAATGCAAGCCGAGTAGAGGCCCTGCTGTTCCCTCCCCATCTAGCATCCCTCTCCCCCTTATTTCATGTGTTGGAAGCCTTAGGTCTGCAACACAGCAGTGCTGGCAGGTGTCTGGGTCAGACAGGCAGAGCCCTCATGAATGGCTTAACACATTTTTACTGTTACCTTTTTATTTAACAACAACAACAACAAAAGATTTCTTATTTCTTTTGAAAGAGTTACAGTGGGGAAGGGAGGGCAGCTCCATCTTGTGGTTCACTCCATGAATGGCTACAACAGCCAGGGTTGATCCAGGACGAAGCCAGGGGCTTCATTCAGATCTCCCACAAGGGTGCAGGGGCCTAAACACTTGGGCCGCCTTCTGCTGCTTTTCCCAGGCCATTAGCAAAGAGCCAGATTAGGAGTAGAGCATCTGGGACATGAACCAGTGCCCATACAGTTTGCTGGCATTGCAGGTGGCACCTTTGCCCACTGTGCCACAAGGCCAGGCTCTTTTCCTGTGACTTCTCACTCCCACTGGATTGTATTGGTTAGCTTTGAGTTGAAGTAACCCCTTTGCACACACAAACCCACCTTTCTACTTTCCATCCTGAGTTGAGGCAGCATGAGGAGCTTCTGAGATGAGGCCACCCAAACTCATATTTTCCAGGCTCCAGAACTGTGAGCCAAAATAAACCTCCATTCTGTACAAATTACTGCCTTGGGTATTCTGTTACAGCCACAGAACACAGACAGAGATGGAGACAGAATCCAGAGACATAATTTTCTTGAGTTCTTACCAACTGTGGGGTACTGTGTTTGAGGAGCCTTAAAATGTAGAAGGGGGTAGTACTGCAGTGTAGTAGGCTAAGCCAGTGCTTGTGATGCCCAGCATTCCATTTGGGAGCCCTGGCATGAATCCCAGCTGCTCTGCTTCCAATCAAGGCTTCCTACTAATGCACACATGAAGACAGCAGCAGATGGCTCAAGCACTTAGGCCCCCATCAGTTATGTGAGACACCTGGATAGAGTTCCTGGTTTCTGGCACAGCCCAGTCCTGACAGGTGCAGTCATTTGGGGAGTGAACCAGTGGATGGACGATTTCTCTCTAACTGCCTTTCAAATAAATAAAATAAATCTCTTTTAAAAAAAAGTGATAGGGAACTAAAATATTCACCTCTCAAGGATTTTTTTTTTAACTCAGCTTGCCTGCAGTTTTCCTGTGCTTTTGTGTAGAAGAACACCTTCTACACATTTCTTCACTGAAAGACAAGACCATCTTGTGATAAGGATAAACTGGTAGCCACATGTTGAGTTGGTCATACTTTCAAATTGAAACTGCTACTTATAAACTGGAAGATTTCTGCACGAAAGTCAGTTTCCAGCTTCTACTTTAGAAAACAAGAGAACACCTAGGTACAATGGGGCTAGAGTGAGAGCTGACCCGGCAGATGAGAAGTGAGCACGGCAGGTGGCTGATCTCCTTCCTGCTAATGTCAAGGGACAACTGCATCTCCCACTGTACAGCTGCTGCTACTGTCTCTTTTGGTCCAGCATTCTCTCTGCTCCCATGGCTACCAGAAGTGGGATGTGAAAGCTACACCAGGTGATTTGAGAAAAAACAGGAGTGCCTAAGTGATGGTGGGGGGAAGTGTAATGTTTTCTTACAAGTTTGGTGTGCAAACTGCCATGGTGTTGGCAGCCACTTCACTCACAGAGGCCGCCCACCTGGCATGACTGGCAGCCCAGGGTATGACCCTCTCCGCTCCCCACCATCCTCCCACTCCTCTCAGAGACGGGGTCCTTTGCTTCCTTCTTTGCATGTCAGACACTGGGAAGCACAGATGAACCCAGGTAAAATCCAGGGAGCCACAAGGTTGTGAGTGCCGACGCCTATTTGCTGTAAGCTGGCAAAGCCTGGGATAAGAAAGGGAGGAAGCAGCAGTCCTGACAGCCCTCAGCATCCATGACTTGGCAATGTGGGCCTTCAGTGGAAGGTGCTGCAACTTGATCCTAACACAACAGCCTGAAAGTAAGTGCAAACGATCCACGTGGAACAAAAGCAGGTGGCTGGCTCTGGTTGGGGTCCTTTGGCAGGGACAGCCTGGCCACTCTACGTAGTCTGGTGACATCTACACACCACGTTAGCTCTGTTTCCAACACAGCCCCATAGCTTGTTCGCTCGCTCTCCTCAGGGCAATTTGAAACCCAGGACACACTCCCAGGCCCAGCCACTGTGGATGCTCCTTTTAGGGCCAGCTGCCAAAACTGCTGTGCTTTGCCTCCTAGGAGGTGCCAGGGCAGATGCTGACGGCCTGCAGGAGCTGGCATGCCCTCACAGCTCACCCGGCAGAGCTCCAGTTCCTGCCAGGCCTCGGGAGACGTGGAGGCTCTGCAGTAACAGATCTTCCCATCTGTGACACTGGGCCTCTGCTTTCCTGCCCATCAGGGTAGGGTCAGAGGAGACAAATACTGGATTCACTTTTTCTTCAATCTTTGGTGTTTGAGTCTTTTATACAATGGAGCACTCATTCAAAGGAGAAAGAATTCAATCTTGCCCCACTCTGGAAATGGGAAATGTTATCTTTAGGTAGGCTGACAATCATTGTTTTTGTTTATGGTTTTTTTCTAAACCTGGAGCCCATGAGAACCTTCCCTGGCTGAGCATTTGGGGAGATGCTGGCAGTCTGCTCGAGCTGACTTTGGAAGAAGTGAACTTGTTATTCCCATGCAAGAGAGGAGGGGGAAACACATGATGGGGGCGGGCAGGGAGAGGAAGGGAAGGATTAGTGGTCAAAGGACCTTAAATGCCACGATGAAGAGAAGGCCTAATGGTGGAATTCCAAAGTCCCTAGCTTATTCTTCACACATCTCTGCTGCTAAAATTCCAAAGCGCAGCCCCAAAGGCATCAACTGGAGAGACGATTTCCAGTGTTGACTAATTACTGCCAGGTAACAACTCCCCAACTTGTGCTTAAAAAAGAAACAGTCTTAGAACACACCAACACCCTGAGGGGCAGCGATGGCAGTGGGCGACAGGGCCCTCTGGCAGTGCACCCCTCTGTGCACGCGGCCTCTCTCTTTCTCTCACAAGCTGGAGTCATGTCTCTCAGTGTGGGAACTGAGCGTGGCCGACGGAGGCTGCCGCCCCATAGACGGGAGGGGCAGGACCCTGCATAGCTCCTGAAGAGGAGCAAAAATGTGCCTGCTCCAAAAATAAACAGCGGCCGGGAATGGCTGAGAGGAAAGAGTGGGAGGCACGTGACCGGCAGCTTCGGTCCTGAAA